TATTCTGTCCTGGAGATTCATTCTGTTCTGTTCTGTTCTGTTCTGTTTTGCTCTGCTCTGCTCTGCTCTGCTCTGCTCTATTCTGTTCTATTCTATTCCATTCCATTCCATTCTTTCATTCTATTCTGTCCTGGTGATTCATACATTTCTAAAAAGGCTTTGGGGCATATAAAAGGGGCAGAGCTTTGATTATTCAGTTGGAACTGCCATGTTGATATGCAGGCATTCCCACAGATGTTCCTAGTTTGGGGGCTGCTTGTAGTTCACTGGCCACTGACTGCTTACTTCCTGCTCATCAAGAGCAACTCTTGATCAGTGCTGCGATCCGAGAACACTCGAAAAGCAATGCTTCAAAATTTTGTGTATCAAATGTAATCTCTTTAGCTGGAACCAGTTACTGTATATTCTACATTAAACTATTGGGCCACTTTAGTACTCCCCTCATTGCACTCAGAATTCAAGCACTCAAAGTTATTGATAGGTTAAAAATGATCCTATTTAATAGAGATAATTAATTTTGTACCCTCTTGCTTGAGAAAGAAGGGAAAGGAGGATAATATTCCTCCATTCCTTCCTCCATTTTCTGATTGATTCAATAAATGCAAGTGGACTGTAGTTTTATTCTTTTACCTCAGAGTAAACAGAAACTTCATTATTTGCCACATACCTTTGCTTGCCTTGCTGTCAAGTAGCAAAACAGAACTGCGACGCCTCCGATTTGTAGGTTGAGGACACGTTGCAACTGAAGGAGGCAGAGGAGAAGAGGTGGGAACAATTATTCTTTACAATAAGAAGATAACATTCAGCACTAGTTCCTGTGAAGATAAAGCAGCTCATAGAAAGTTCACTTTAGAGCTGGGAAGGTGTAGTAGGGGAGAAAGCATAGCTCAACTCTTCATTGGGTCTGAGTTGAAGGGCTCACAGTTGAAGAAGTCAAAGAGCATCTCCAGCTTTTTCATGTTTTGCTGGACTCTTTTTCCCCCTTTGAAATGAAATGATAGGAAAAAGCAGGAAAATACCAGTGGAGGATTAGAGTGGACACTTCCTAAAATCATAGGAATAAAGTAGAAATCCTGCATTATAATTCCCTCCTCTAGAACCACCCTGAGAAACAGTGATTTGTCCTACAATTTGAGTAATCACTTGGAAGAGGATTTTGGAACCATTACATGCAGTTTAAGAACCCAATGGCCAATATTCTGTCCTTGAAATACTGAAACACACTTCTCAGGTGTGAGGAAAACAAATCCTTAGAGGGGTGGGACATTTTAGCAAAAAAGAATCACAAAAGGAACGTGTGCTAATTGGCACATGAAAAAGGCAACCTTGAAGTGTCTGGTTCTCAGTAAGCCTGACCAAGATTTCTATGGCAACCAAACTGATCTGTTTCTTTTATTAAGGCAATAATTCTTTCTTGAATGTAGAAGTAAATTGAGGTTTGGTAATTATGAATATTTATGTTTACATCATTTACTATTTATGCATATGTATGGCTATCATTTTCTCCTCCTTTCTGAAATGTGTAAATATGAGTGAATCTTTTTGTCTGCTGGAGCTTCTTTGACTAATTTCTGGAGGTAGTTCCTACAGGGCAAATTGATAACAATACATTTTGCTTGCTTGCTTGCTTGCTTGTTTAATTAATTAATCAATTTCTAAACTGCCCATCTCAACCAAGTGCCTCTGCAGTGAGGCTTGACTATTGTGAATTGATTCCCATATGATTTCAGTAGTATTTGATGGAGCAATGTTCGTCCCTTCGCCTCTAAATGGATTGAAAAACCTCTGCCATCTCCCAGACATTAGCACCCATCCCCAAAATACCTGATCTCTGTTTGGTATTGAGATTAGTGCTGGTTGTCAGAGCCAGTCCAGCATCTTCAAACACACCCAGATTATTCTGGCCACCGCCAGCTGTACAGCCAAAGTCACTCTTTTCTATTGTGTCCCATATCTATTGCACATCATAGAAAAAAATATGTTCCTCTTCAGTACTGTAAGTCGGAAAACTCTTGAAAGCTGAATGTTTGTAGCTTAAGAAATTTCTGGCCTTACCTTGGCTTGGCTAATCTTATATTTATCATTGAGAACATATACTGCTTTGTCCACAGCCACAAGACCGACCCGAGCACCTGGATCTCCTTCCAATTTGATTTTCATTGTAGCTTCTGGCATTTGTATTTGATTGTCTCTGGAAGACGCTCCTTTCACAACCAACTGTTTATACAAAGCAAAGAACAGCTCAAATCTCTATAACAGACAGAAAAATTGCCAATTCAAGGGGAAATAGTTTTTCTATCTGAACAGAAATAAATGTTTTGGGAAAAATACCCTGAAAGTGCTTTAAAATAAGCACATCTGATTTATGCAGCTATAATAAAGGGGTTCCCATGACTGCTAAGAAAGCTACTGGGGGGAACTTCTGGTTGCAAGGCTTCGGCGGCGGCAGGAATCCACATTTCTGC